AGATCTCAACGTCAATAAAATCAATAACATCAAAGAAACAAAATATAACAAAAGAATTCGAAAAGGGTGATGAAGTTGAAGTGGCAAGTCACGAAGATGGATTCGTAGGCTCTTACTACACAGCAACTATTCTTTCTAAGCTTGACGCTAATCATTACATCGTCAAGTACAAGACTATGTTGACTGATGATGAGTCTGAACTGCTGGAGGAAGTGGTCACTGTAGGCGAGGTCCGTCCTGTTCCACCTCATCAAGATGAAACAATGTCAGAAAAAGGATTCCGTGTATACGATATTGTTGATGTGTATGCCAATGATGGATGGTGGTTTGGATGTATCAGTGGGAAAATTGGAGAAGAGTACTATGTCTATTTCCCAACAACTGAAGATAACATTGCATACCCTTCTCATGTGTTGAGATTTCATCAAGAATGGTGTAAATGCGGGTGGATATCTCTCATGTCATGACAAAGAAGGATTTTCGACTTGTGCTGATCTTGAATTCAGGAAATTATTTATCATTCGTTTTATGTCAATTCAATTTTTGTTGCGAAATTGTTACATTTGCTCATAAAGATTTTGATTTTTTTGTGGTTGCAATTATTTGATTTTTCTCTCATTCCTTTTCTTATGATGTGTTACTCCAGAATCGATACTTCCCAAACTTAGAAGGATCAAAACATATAGATCATGTAGAACTAAAATGTACTAAAACTGAAAGTGTTCATCACACAATACCTCAGTGAAGTGCTAGTTGAGATTGAGATCAATCAATAAGTGCGAAGTCAAATATTTGTGAACAGTGTTTTCAATCGGGGCGATTCTCGGAGCGGGTTGTATAAAAAATGCTCCGGGCGCAAATTGAAGGTGGACATCTATAGGGCGTAAGTCCTACAATTATATGCCTGCCTAGGGCGTTATTTTCTTTATTGGTGTAATGATATTTATATTTTATGCTATCATGTTTTTTTAGGTTGTAGTCATTTTTTCTATGATGTATAAATAAACTTTCATATAAAATGACATAGCTATAAATAATTTTTTAGATAATCATATCTAAAATTTATAGGATAGAGTTACCTATCTCAAATAGTAATTATAATACTTTCTTTTCTATATTATTGGTTATAAAATTCCCTTTTAAGTGAAAAAGATATTTGTATGTTTTAATATAATTTTCATCTTAAAATTGAACATCACACGAACAACTTATGTGCAAGTGGACAATAGTTGTGATCTTTGTTACAACAATGCTAGGCAGATAAGCTTCCAAACAAAAAAAAGAAGGGAAAGTCTGTCCGACAGACTTGAAAGCAGGGGTGCTCCTGGAATGAAGCTCATAAAGCTAGAGCTTATGTGTTGAACTCCCGATGTGGGAACATTTATTATGTCCTTTTGGTTCACCTCGAAGAAACAGCTTATGTACATATACTTGCTGGCTGTACTGTATTAGAAATGGTAGTATCATTCATGATTTCTCTTTTATTTTAGTTTATACTAAGTTTCAACAACTCTTTTATGATTCAAATTGACGATATCCATAGGCTGGCTGAATCTTGAATTAGCCAAAATAATCATTCTGTTCTTCGTTTGATACATTAGAAAGTTTGTAAGACAGCAGTGAGACATCTTAGACTTGCAAACAGACCCAAAGTTTCCTAAGTAGGCAGATGAAGAAAACTGGAAACCATTTTTGGCTTCTAATTAGGTCTCGTACAAAAAGAATGGAGTCTGTCAGACAGCCATGAGACCATCTTAGGCCTGAGATCAGGTCTAAGAACGATCATCTACTGCAACCACAGCTCGAGGAGCCATGGTTGGCTGTTAATCACGCTCTGGTCACATGGCCATACTTCATCAACCAGACTTGGTTTCCTGTCTCCTTAGAAATAAAGGATTCAGTGGTACGAGCCTATAGAACAGATCCTGTTCAAGTAAGGTCGTGACATATGCTCCTGGTAAGAAGCCTCATAAAGCTGGAGCTTATGTGTTGCACTGCCGATGTGGGAACAATCTATTGGCCCCTGACACAGCTACGCTGACTACTACGCAATCTCTAAGGCATAAGTGCAATAAAAGTAATAAAATTTATGTCAGATTTTAGTTTTTGATTTGTTATAGAAAAAATAATAATTATGCATTAATTTTATTTTAACGTGTAGATAGTTAATTTCGTAGAAACCGTTCCAATTCCCAGTAGGCAGTTTTTCCTCTTGCCATGACCTCCATAATAAATTAGGAAAGAAATTTTTTTTTAAAAAAAAGATATAAACCAATCAAAAATTTTAAAAATTGGAAATTTCCTATTCCGAGTCATTAAAGAAAAATAAGAAAACAATTCCCATTCCGAATTACAGAAGGAAACAAGAAGTCTCTCCCTATAAATTCACTTCCAAAGCTCATTCAATTGACAAATCAATCTCTAGTAGAGTCTGCAATAATGGCTCCAATCAAAGTGACAGAAATTAATTCAGAGGAACGCCACGCAATGCTCTCAGAGTTTATAAAATCAATAGCATTCAAGAGACAACAGATAACAAAAGTATTCCAAAAGGGCGATGAAGTTGAAGTGGCAAGTCAAGTATATGGCTTCATAGGTTCTTACTACGAAGCAACTATTGTTTATCCCATTGGCGCTTATCATTACAAAATCAAGTATAAAACTCTGTTGACTGATGATGAATCCGGGCCACTGGAAGAGATGGTCAGTGCAGCAGTGATCCGCCCTGTTCCACCTCATCAAGATAAAACAATGTCAGAAAACGGATTCCATCTGTATGATATGGCTAAGCACTCAAATGGGCAAAAAGAACTATAATCTGTCAGACAGCCATGAGACCATCTTAGGCCTGAGATCAGGTCTAAGAACGATCATCTACTGCAACCACAGCTCAAGGAGCCACGATAGGCTTGAGCCACGATAGGCTGTTAATCACGCTCTGGTCACATGGCCATGCTTCATCAACCAGACTTGGTTTCCTGTCTCCTTAGAAATCAAGGATACAGTGGTACGAGCCTATAGAACAGATCCTGTTCAAGTAAGGTCGTGACAGTTGTTAGTGAATAGAAGGTTATAACGCCAGAGCTTATGTGTTGCATATCCGATGTGGGAGTACATATTAGTAATATATTGGCATGTCACACAATTTCGCTAACTATGCAATCTCCAATTCTAAACTCGTCCAAGTGCAACAAAAACAGTGAAATTTATGTAAGATTTATTATTACTCCTAACTCAACTGAAAAACCAATTAAATAAGTATGATTGAAGAAAAAGTCACTCTACTTTTATCAAATAAACTATACCTTAGAATTATTTTTTCTTTAATTAACTTGAAAAAATGAAACTAAAGTTATAATTATACTGGGGCAGAGGGAGTAATTTGTTTTAAGGTGAAGACCATCAATTTCGTAGAAACCATCCCAATTCCCAGAAGCAAGAACTCCATGACCTTTTTTTGCGTTAATAACTTATATGGTCACTTAACTATAACAAATTATGTAGCGAAGTCACTAAAGTTTATAAGAATGAGAAAGATAAGCATATTATAAACCATAAAGGAAGGAAGTATTACAAAATCAAACTTGAGGAGATGATATAATTGTCTCTTTAGTTTTTTGGTCATAGTAACTTTTTGGTAAAACTAGTTTAAGTTACGTTGAACAACTTTGTGATAAAACTAGTTTAAGTTATGTTGAACGATTTTTTGGTAAAATTAGTTTAAGTTACGTTGAACGACTTTTTGGTAAAACTAGTTTAAGTTGAACGATTTTTTGGTGAAACTAGTAAGTTGAAAGATTTTTTGATAAGCCTAGTTTAAGTTGCAAGATATTTTGGTGAAACTAGTAAGTTGAAAGCTTTTTTGATAAGCCTAGTTTAAGTTGCACGGTATTTTGGTGAAACTAGTAAGTTGAACGACTTTTTGATAAAACTAGTAATAAGTTGAATGATTTTTTGATAAAATTAATAAGTTGAACAATTTTTTGATGAAACTAGTAAGTTGAACGATTTTTTGATAAAACTAGTTTAGGTTGACCGATTTTTTGATAAAACTATAGTTGAACAATTTTTTGATAATACTAGTAAGGTGAACGATTTTTTGATAAAACTAGTGCAACTTGAACGATTTTTTGATAAAATTAGTAATAAGTTGAATGATTTTTTGATAAAATTAATAAGTTGAACAATTTTTTGATGAAACTAGTAAGTTGAACGATTTTTTGATAAAACTAGTGCAAGTTGAATGATTTTTTGATAAAACTAGCGTAAGCTGAACGATTTTTTTGAAAAAACTAGTGCAAGTTGAACGATTTTTTGATAAAACTAGTTTAGGTTGACCGATTTTTTGATAAAACTAGTTTAAGTTGAACGATTTTTTGATAAAACTAGTAAATTGAACAATATTTTGCTAAAACTCGTAAGTTGAACATTTTTTAATTTGGTAAAACTAATTTAAGTTGAATGACTTTTTGCTAAAACTCGTAAGTTGTACATTTTTTAATTTGGTAAAACTAATTTATGTTGAGTGACTTTTTGCTAAAACTCGTAAGTTGAACGTTTTTTAATTTGGTAAAACTAATTTAAGTTGAATGACTTTTTGCTAAAACTCGTAAGTTGTACATTTTTTAATTTGGTAAAACTAATTTAAGTTGAATGACTTTTTGCTAAAACTCGTGAGTTGAACGTTTTTTATTTTGGTAAAACTAATTTAAGTTGAATGACTTTTTGCTAAAACTCGTAAGTTGTACATTTTTTAATTTGGTAAAACTAATTTATGTTGAGTGACTTTTTGCTAAAACTCGTAAGTTGAACGATATTTTGGTAAAACTACAAAGTTATGAAGTAAACTATCATAAATGGAAAACAAAAGAAAATAGGAAAATAATCTCTATTCTTAATCACCAAAGGTAACATAATTCTCTGCCTATAAATTCACTTGCAAAGCCTCATAGTTCCTCACTTTTCATTCAATCGAACCAATCTTCACTACTACTCTCAAAATGGCCCTAGTAAACAATTCAGAGCAACGCCACCAATCAAAAATTGAAAAGCTCTCAAAGGAAATAGATTCGATAGCAATGAAGACACAACAAATAACAAAACTATTCCAAAAGGACGATGAAGTTGAAGTGGCAAGTCACACGATAGGCTTCATAGGTTCTTACTACGAAGCAACTATTGTTTCTATCGAGGACGCTTATCATTACAAAATCAAGTACAAAACTCTGTTGACTGATGATAAGTCTGCACCTCTAGAAGAGCTTTTCACTATAGGCGAGGTCCGCCCTGTTCCACTTGAAACAATGTCAGGAAACACATTCCGTCTATACAATAAGGTTGATGTGTTTTCCAATGATGGATGGTGGTTTGGATTTATTAGTGGGATAATTGGAGAAGAGTACTATGTCTATTTCCCTACAACTGGAGATAACATTGCATACCCTTCTCATGCGTTGAGATTTCATCAAGAATGGTCTAATGACAAGTGGAAAGTCCTGAAATGACAAGGAACGATTTTCGACTTATGCTGATCTTGATTTACTGTACTAAGATAGGAATGCGATTCAAGTTTAGTTGCATAATGTAATATTGCTGATTAACACTTTGATATGCTAGACATATATTTTCTTGCCTTAAATTGTGGTATTATATGTTATCAAATTCTTTACTTTGCTTTTCTACGTTAATGCGATTTCAAACATAAATTTACATAAATTCATGTTATTTTAAGAATATAAGTGTAAAATTACTTGTCACTCCAAAAAATATTGTAGGTCGGCGCAAGTGATATGAAACTAAATAAGATAATGTAAGAAAAATATTTTCATTCATAAGTGAGAAAAATGAAAAAATCATATTCATATTTCTTTATGAAAAATAATTTTGAATAAATATTTCTTGTACTTATATTATACCAGTACGAAAAACCATAATGTACATATCCTTCATACATAAAAATTACAGTCCTAATATTCAATTAGCTTACGAAATATGTATATCATTTATAAATAGTCTATATTTTATATCAAATATATATATAAATATAGTATATACACCAATAAAAAAAAATGCAGTCCATGCTAGGACAAAAAAAAGGAAGAAGGAGAATTTGGTCATTTCGGAGTAGATGAGTTGAGTTGAATGAGAAGAAAAGAACCTTTTTCGACTTTGTCAATTAAGAAAAGAGTGTCTGTTAACCCAGCGAAGGAACCGACGAAGAAGAAAAGAAAAAATTACACCAAAAAAGAGCAAAAATGGCGTTGCAGTGGATGATATTGACGTACGTAGTAGCAGCAGAGGCAGCGATAGCAATTCTGCTAACATTGCCATCTCCTAAAGCTCTCAAATCTCGTTTTGTTTCTCTAATTTCACTCGCCCTTCAACCCTCTCTTTTCGTCGTCCCTTTCTCTGCTTTTCAGCTCCTCGGTATTCTCTCTGCTTCTTATCCTATTGATTTTTATTTGCTACTTCGTTATTTTTACAGTTGTGTGATACTGAGACTTACTAATTTTTGTTCTTGTTGTTGTTCTCTTAGATATTTATTGGAAAAATGAACATCGATTGATGTGTACGGGTGAGATTTGCACTGCTTCAGAGAGGGACCGCTACGAGAAATCGGTAAATTTTCTTTCCCCTTTTTTTGGAACGATTTTGTGTAGTAGTAATTTTTACTGGGTGAGTTTAAATTGTAAACAAAGCGTGTGGTATGTATGAAAAGGAAAATTGGTTCTACAATGCCATTTCAACTTCATTCTTTGATTGATAACCAATTAGTAGTTTCTACAATTTTGATGGACAAGAATAACTGATATTTGCTTGATAACCCTGTGTTGCTTGTACCTAGATGTGGAGTTTAGTTGAGTTGTTGAGGTGTTTGATTTGCTGAAGACTGCAAGTTTAGGATTGAGATATAACTAAATTGTTATACACCGGTGTGCAAAATGGCTTATAAAGCATGATATTTGGGTTGCATATGCGTGATATTTGATTGTCATTCGTTAGAATTAGAAAGGATTTTGGATTTTCAAGTAAATTATATGCAGTTTAAGATGTTCTTCTTTAAGTATATTACTACTTCTTGGCTGCATGAGTTTAGCAGTAGTCGTGGAATTGAAATCAGATTGACCAGATATTGTACATATCTTATCCAGGTTGAAAAGATGAAATCAGATTGATCAGCTATTGTACATATCTTAGATTATTTGTGAAGTTGGTCTTCTGTAGTTTCTATAAGTCTCACTTTTCCGTTCTAGTAGGTGATGGCACTAAAGGTAATGCAGTTGTATATATTGTTCACTTATAGAGACAAGTTAGATGCTGGTGCTAGAAAAATGGGAATAACGAGAAGTGTTTTGTTGTAGTCTGGCCATGAACTTATCTAGTGATGAACTGGTGACAGTCGGACATATATAAGATATCAGGTCTATTGGGAAAGGGAAGTTTTCTTTAGTTTAGGAAACCACAAATAGGTAAAAATAAACAGAAAGTAAGATAAATTCCTAACAAATCAAGGAATGAAGGTAGTGACCATAACTTATTTCATTTAGGGGAAGTGCTTATTGTTTCATCAATTTATATAACCTTATATCAATGCATCAAGCCGAAGGAAACCTTCAATTCAATTTCTTGATTGTTTGGTTGAAATTTTAACGGAGAGTTTGCAACAGTAAGGTACCACTTCAGAAATGCGGCAGCTGAAGGAACAATTGTTACTAGTCTAGTTCTGTGTTTTCGGAAAGGTGTGGCTACCCTTCTATAGCGACTGCACCATTTTGCAAGTCTACTGTATTTTGTTCTGACACACCATCTAGCATGTTCGATGAAGACTCCTGCACAAACATGTTTACTTCTTAAACATTATGAAAGTGGGGACAAAGCATTTCAGTTGCAGGTCCTCTTGTTTTTATTTAAGTACCTCAGTGGTGGCATTATGGTGAGACTGAGATCAATTAATGGCTGCTAATTGGACGACGGATCAGCCCACTTCTTTTGTGTGGGATTGTTATTGTCATTTGTCTGCCTATCCTATGTGCTATGTTAAACATTTTGGAAATAAGAAATGGTCCTAATATTAAGTTTTATCGGATGTCCCTGAAGGGACCGTCCCCAGATTAAGTTCAGTCCTGTGATATGTAGAATCACCTTGATATGCAAACATCAGTCTAGCATATCAGATATTGTAGATTACAAACTATTTACGTTGGTAAATGCTGACGACTGAATTCCTGAGCCATATGCCAAGAAACCCTTGCATTTTCCGGATAATTGAGGAAATGTGCTGTGTGGTGCATGGATTTCCCTGTTCTTTTTTCCCCTTGTTCTTGCACAGAAATAGAAGCACATTGATGTTATGTTATCTGGCTTATGACTTCCTTTTCCCTTCTGTTTGTATCTCCACTCATGTTATGCAGATCTACAAGGCTCAAAGAAATGTGATCCTATGTCTGGCAGCATGCCTTCTCTACTGGTACATCAACAGAATCATTATATGTGATTTTACTTTCGAAATGTGTCTTCTCTTTTATAATTTAATGCATTAACAATGTGTTCTTAATGTGTGTGAAGGTGTATCTATCGTGTTTGCAAGTACTACAAGGAGATTCAGAGCATTGAAGAAGTAGAAAAGAGCTACAAAGACCAGTAGCTGTCTATCTGTGCACCAATCATATTATTCAAGGCTACTTGTAGCTGAAGTAACATTTAGACCATGCAATATAACATAATATCAGTCTTGTGTTTGCTTTACAAGCCATCGCTATGAATCTATGACTACTACATATTCAAAGGAGTTTGCAAAAGGGAAGAAAGTCTGACAATATGGAAATTTCTCTAATATTCAGTATTCACTTTCCAAAATCTTTTGTTTTCCAATCAGTACATCCCAATATCACAGGGTGAAATATAAAAGGCACAAGAAAAAGGCTCCCAAAAACAGCAAAAAAAGAAAAAAAGAAAAAAAAGAAGAGATCCACTATCACATTTTTGCTACAGAAAGAATCAAGCAGGATGCCTCTTCTTCTTCTTTGTCTTCAACCTATCACATAGGAAAGTTTTCTCTAATTGATCCACCCTCTGTGCCAGCGAATTCAGCATTCGTGTTTGTAGTTCATTTTTTTGGCACAGTTCAGTCATCATTCTCATCATATTCTCATTCTTCTCCACCATTTTCTCCAACAACTCTCTGTTTCTTCTACTCTCCTCTTCCCCGTCAAGCTTGTGTGACCTTGTTTCATTCTTCTCATCCTCAATTCCTTCAATCACATCCCCAACTTCACCTCTCTCCACACTTTCCTCCACACATTCGTGCTTTGGACAGTCCGTTTCCTCCTTCACCTCCTGCAATTCTTCACACTTCTCAACCGACGGTGCTACATCGTGTTCACCCTCTACGGGTGTTTTCTCATCATTTGATGTCGCTTGAGTTTCTACATCCACATTCTGCTCTGACAGATCACAAAGTTCATTCTGATTATTCAATTTTCCATCTTCATCCTGATTTCCTGTTGAATTGGGGATGTCTCCGGTCTGATTGGCTGATTCAGAGAGTTCATCGGATTGATTCTCCTCTTCAGCTGCAATTTGATTTGCAGCAGAAACAATGGAGTCAACTTTCTCTTGCAAATAGATGGCCTTTCTAATTACAGCCTTTCTGCACTCCCTAACACCGGAATCAACTCCACGAATGGAGTCCAACTTGAAAAGCAGAGACATCAGCGTCTCATTCACCCGCAACCTTTCCCTTTCATCTCTACAAATCAACTCCGCCGTTTCTCTACACAAAAGCTTCCGCTCAACATCTTCCACCTCTTTTCGTATCGACATGATTTTCTTCACGCTTTTTCTCACCAAAAAGCCTCTGAATACCTTCTGGATCTTCAACGCTGAAGCGAACCGATCCGCCTCAGGTTTCTGTTTCGCCGAGGCCAAAACGGACCGCTCGGGATCCGAACTGACGAAGTGGACCGGAATCTGGACAACCTTGGAGGCCGGCTTGATTCCGGCAGGTTTCTGATGAATCGATTGCACTGGTATTCCTCTCATGTTTGAGGAATAGCGAGGGTGAGCTGGCTGGGACCAATAGCTTCCGTAGAACGGATTCTCCATTGTTAACTTTGATCGCTTTGTTGAGATATTGATAACTAACGAAGTCTGAAGTTTTTGTTGTGTTGTATATGCAATGAGGGAAGCTGTGAAGCTTTCTGCTATTTATGCGGTTGAGAGAGAAACTGAACTGAATATTCCAGAAGGTTCAGGAATTTTTGGAAGGGCACAGAAATATCTTAGCTTTCGCTAGAGTGATGTAGAATGTTCTATCCCTGTAAGTCGATATTAATTGAATTAAAAAATGATTTTGTCCAATTATAATAAATATAGAAAAATTATAAAAAAAAAATCTTCGTATCAAATACATTCTTAATAAAAAAAAATAAAAATTGAACCCAATCACTTATTTTTCAATTTTTCTGTTGAGATCTATTTTTCAAAGATATTTATATTGGATCAATGATTCATTTGTAGATTTTATTAGAATTTATAATTGGTTATTGAAACCTCAAATATGACAAACGGAAAAAAAAACAAAACATGATTATTGAGGATCACTCAGGGGTATAGGGTGTGCTTGGTAGGAAGGAAAATGCTTTTTCTGGAAAATAAGGATATTTTTTATTTATTTTTTCATATTTGGTTGGTGAATAAAAAATATTTTTTGAAAAAGTTTTTTTAGTGTTTGATTTATAAATAAAAAATATTTTGAGATATTTTTTTTATTTTTACTAGAGAGTAGAAAATAATTTTTTTAATTGAAATTGAAAATATATTTTAAAAATAAACTTAATTTTTTTGGGGTGGGCGGGCTGCCGGAGGGGTGAGATAGGGTAAAAAAAATAAAAATTAAAAATTAAAAATATTTTTTAAAAACAAACTTAAATTATTTAATTTTTTTTTTGGAGGGCGTTGAGGGTAGGGTTGAAAATAAAAATTTGAAATATTTTTCAAAAACAAACTTTAATTTTTTATTGGTCTTTTAAAGTAAGCTTTAAATCTAATTTTTTATCCAAAAAAATTATTATTTTCAACAAAAAAAATTGATTTTTTCAACAGAAAAATTGTAATTTAAAGTTGGAGGAAAGTTTAGGAAAATGTTTTCCTTAATTTTTGAAGGGAAGTCATTTTTCTTAAATTTGAAGAAAATGAGTTGATTTATATTTTACCAACCAAACATGAGAAAATTGGAAAACATTTTCCGGAAAATGTTTTTCTTCATACCAAACACACCCATAATGTATTAAAACAATCGATCCAATCAATTAAATAAAACATACTCCCTCCATTTCATATTAATTGAATTGTTGAGGTGTTTCACACCCTTTAGGAAAAGAAGATTAAGACATAAATTAGGCTTAACTTTCCATTTTTACCCTGATTAATTATTATCAAAATTATGATTAAAATAACTAAATATTAATTAATAACTAATTTCAATACTAACTAATGAAGGGTAAAATTGAAAAAACATTCTAAAATTATTTTTGAAAATTGAACAATTAAGTTAATTTAAAAAATGAAAAATATCTCAATAATTCAATTAATATGAAATGGAGGGAGTACATTGATCGGACAGACCACTAACTAGAATTTGATTTCTTAAATTATTACATGTGTATTACCAAAATAAATATCAAAGATATTTATGTCATATGCGTTTTTTTTTAATTGTCCAGTCACATTTTTCGCTTAGTTGACTGGAGATTATATTTATGGCTCCAATTTTCTCAATTTATTAACTTCTTCGCATGTTAATAAGAACAATTATTCTTTATATGTATATAAACATGTATTTGTTAATTTTACTCTTTCAAATTTAGTCCTACCGTAATGTACCTCTAATTAATTCGGTCAAACATAAAGTTTTCATTTAATTCATATCTAATTAGCTTCAAATTCATAAATCTTATCCCTATCGTCTTATTAGGATTTGTATTCAAATTTTTAAAGAAATAATTTTTGCTCTAGAGTTAAAATAGTTTTTTCATTATTACAAATAGAAATATCACTATTTATCTTTTCTTGATCCCATTTATTATTTCATTTTTATCTCTAAATTCGGTAAAAACATAAGGTTTTCAAGAACTTTTCATTCTATTCCCTTGCTTATACCTATTCTCTAGCTTTCCCACTCATACTCCCACTTTCATTCCCATTTTCCTCCTATAAATATTTCATTCATCAAAGTTATATCCATCAAATTACATCTACTTAGTATATTCAAATACCAAAAAAAGAAAAAAAATCAAAAAAAAAAAAAAAGAGAGGTTGGGACTGAAGTATAACAACTTGTGCTTCTTTCTCAGTTTCCTTTGTTGTCAAATCCTAACACAGAACCATGGCTAAATTTTCCAAGAATTCCATGGTTCTGTGCTTTTTGGTAGCCATTGTTTTTGTTATCTCTAGTGCAAGTGCATCTACTAGGCTTAAGAAATTTGATCACCCTACTAAAGGTGATGGTACTCTTAATTTCTTGGTTATTGGTGACTGGGGACGAAGGGGTACTTATAATCAATCTCACGTAGCTCGTCAGGTACCATTTCTATTTTATTTGTCTTTCGTCAATTTTATTAATGAATCGTGTGATTAACTCATTTCAAAATTTATATACAGATGGAAAGAGTCGGAGAGAAGTTAGACATTGATTTTGTATTATCAACGGGTGACAATTTCTATGATAACGGATTGACAGGAATACATGATTCAAATTTTGTAGAGTCATTTACTAACATATACACAGCAAAGAGCTTACAAAAACAATGGTACAGCGGTAAGTTTCCCAAAATAAGTACAATTTTATTCTGACTAGAGCTGTAAATATAGGTCTGTCTAGCCCATACTGACGGTTCTAATTATAACATTTGAATTGGTCTGAGATTTTGTTTTTTTTTGCACAGTATTAGGCAACCACGATTACAGAGGAGATGTAGAAGCACAACTCAGTCCTTACCTTAGGAAAATTGATAGCAGATGGGTTTGTTTAAGGTCTTTCGTAGTTAATGCAGGTACAAAATTGATCTCTTGTTAAATAATTTAATCAACTTTATATGTTATTTTTGATTCTCCATTTTTATTTTTTGAAGAAATTGCTGAAATATTCATGGTGGACACAACTCCATTTGAGGAGAAATATTTCACAACTCCTAAGGATCATATCTACGATTGGCGTGGTGTGCTCCCTAGACAAGCATACATGGCTAACGTATTAAAAGTAAGTTGAATGTAGACTTCATAAATATTCGTCTAAAAATCATTTCTCATACATTTTAATTTCAAGATCATGATTTTATAAAATTTCAATGATTGTTTTTTATTAGGAACTCGAAAAGGCCTTGAGTGAATCGACAGCAAAATGGAAGATTGTACTAGGTCACCATGCCATTAGAAGTGCAGGACATCACGGTGACACTCAGATACTTGTGGATCGTTTTCTTCCTATTCTTAGGGTAACTCTTTCTCTATTTCATTCACACCTATGAATTGCTTTTGACTCGAAATGTGTATATAACGTTATTGATTTGCCTCTTGAAACTACAGAAGTACGATGTTGATTTTTACATGAACGGACATGATCACTGTCTTGAACATATTAGCGACACTGAAAGGTGAGACTAGACTTCAAATCTTGCAAAATGACCTTAATTTTAGCAACATGATCTTAATTTTTGTCTTTGATGTTGCAGCCCATTGCAATTTTTAGTAAGTGGGGCGGGTTCAAAGGCATGGAGAGGAGATACTAAAGGAATAAATAGAGATGATGTACATTTTTTCCATGATGGACAAGGTTTCATGTCTGTTGAGTTGACACCAACAGAGGCAGAGATCAAATATTATGATGTTTTTGGTAGTGTTAGACATAGGTGGAATAGGTCCAAGTTGCTTCTTCACTCTGCTATGTAAAAAAAATTCTTTTTTGGTTGTAGATACTAAGTTAGATGTAGAAAAGAAATTGGATTCTTTTTTTTTTCCGTCGAGATTGGATTTCACAATGCCTAATTTGGTTTTGTGAAAGGAAGTAATCTCGCACATTTAGGGTTCGTTTGGCTTGATGTATTAGTATTTAGATGGAATAAAATATGACATTTTTGCTCAGTGTTTGGTTAGTATTTTGAATCCTACATAGCAAATCTGGTATATTATTTTGTAAAGATTTAAGGCCAATCAATATGTAGCATTCCTTATCAATTTCCCTTCTTGGAAATTAATCCACAATAAATATATATTGCATGCTTTCTGTAATTTCCAATGCTCTTTTAGATACTACTGTTCTATATATATATACTAGATAGGGGACCCCGTGCCAGCACGGGGCCCAATAAATGTTACTGAGCTATTAATTAAAGTATAAAAGAAATTTTTTTAAAAAAGGAAACATAAATGTCAGCAGGATTTCAATCTATGTAATTTTTATGTTTTAATCATTGTAATACCGATTGAATTTGGAGAGGCAACTAAATTTTTTTAAAGATTTTTTTTTATAAATTTTAAGTTGTTAATTATTATAATTTATAATATTTTTATTAATTTTAAACCAAT